CACACATTTTTTTATTATTAAATTTGGTAATAGAAATGAAGTTGGAGATTTTTTCCAAGTCCTTGTTTTACTTCCTTGGTTATGATATACTTCTGTTGTCAGATATAAGTACTAGAAATAAGTTTTAGCATGATTACTTTTTAAATTATTCAAATATTAGAAGGCCTGAGTAGTTTGTTATTTGTGTTCTGTCACAAATGGAGCAACCATTTTGTAAAACCAAATTATTATGGGTTTCAAATGATACAAAGAAAACGAAATACATTTTACTACAAAAATCTAAAATTTGTAAAGCATTCTTTCATATTTAATTTTTATTTCTATTTTTTTTTTTGAAATGCAGAAGTAATTTGGGGCCTGCTTTTGTTTATTTATTTATTTACTCATTTTTTAATTTTTGCGTAGAAGAACTGGGATGCAAGCTAGAGGTATAGAAGGTAAGAGAATTCACCAGTTACAAAGAGGGAGCAGAATAGGCAGACTGACTGAAATACACTGCTGAGGGGAGCAGCCAGTGAGACAGGAGAGGTCTCCTGCATGCTATGTGGGTCAGCTCCCTGGCTGGGGATTGAACTCATGCCATAGCAGGGTTAGTGCTGAGAATTAACCACTAGGCCATCAGGGAGGCCCTGGGTTCTACTTTTAAAAATTAAGTTTGTGGCCCTCCCTGGTGGCGCAGAGGGTTAAAGCACTGCACTGAGAAGCTAAAGCCACTTCTGCATGAGTTCGATTCCTGCCTGCCCTGGAGGTGACCACATGGCGTGGCAGACCTCTCCTGACCCGCCCGCTGCTCCCCTCAGCAGTGTACTTCATCGATCTGCCTGTTCTGCTCCCCACTCTGTCTCTGGTGAAGCCTCTCACCCTCCGCATCTCTGGCCTGTACCCCAGTTCTATATGAATAAATAAATAAATCTTAAAAAAAAAAATTAAGTTTGTATTTAAATTTGAATAAGTTTCTTTGTACCTAAGTTGTACCTATCTATCCACCTACCTGTGAACCACTCACACACATTCACTTATACACAGACACATGCACAATCCTATATAGCATCCATTAACACATATGTAGCTTAGATTTAATTCAATTCACACACAGCAGAATGTGTACTGGGAACATGAAAAAAATTATTAACAAGAAACTGAATGTTAAGAAAACTCCTCAGACTGACAAGCAGAATAAATCGTGTTTCAAACCAGGACACTGAAATTCTGATGTTTTTAATATAAATAGTAGAAGAAGCATGTCCCTGGAAATTGTCCAAGCAACTTCTGTTCTCAGTCTTTTCAACCATCAAGAGCTGTAAACAAACCATGAAGTTCAACCACTGTTGTTTGAATTTGCTTCTTTTAAATAAACTGATAATATATTTCATATGCTACTGAAATGATCCATATTTTTGCGCCAGAAACTTTTTCTAACAATTACCAGTTCCGTGTGTAATTAAGAGAATTTCCCCTGGGCTCAATACCTTCACATTTAGGGGGCTCTAGCTGGGTGCTGTTGATCTTTTCCATCTTACACAAAAGAGTAGATGTGCATTGAACCTAGAAAACAAACACTTGCAATTTTCTAGATGAGGGAACTGAGATCAGGATAAACTGTAACTATAACTTGTCCAACACCACACAAGACTAGAAGAGCTCTCTATCTTCTTGTCTTCCATTATTAATAAGAAAACAACTAACTCTTGGCCTCCTGGTGGTACAAGGAGTTAAGTCTCAGCATTATCAAGCCATCAGCAGCCACTGCAGCATAAATTCCATCCCCAGCCAGGGAAGGTGACCTCCCCTGTATGCATAAGTAAACAAATCTTAATATAAATAAACGTGATGTTTTAAGTCACTTTTTAAGAAGTTACAATAATGCCACATGGTCTCCTGGCTGGTTCATAAGGGTTCAGATCTCAAATTCTTGCTAGTCCATTATAATGGCCTTATACCATGTCACCTGGCTTTTTCTTTGCATAGAATGGGGGAATAGGCCAGAGGTGGAGGGGAGGGGAGAGGGTTCAGCAGAGACAGAATGGGGAGCAGAACAGGCAGATCTAAAAAGGATACTGCACTTTGTTTAGTACCCAGGTGACACCCACTGTCATTCTCTCAACACTTTGTTCACGTGCTCTGGGATGCCAAAGTCCCAGGGCTGGACTGCAATTTGGGACACACCAAGCAGGATGGTTTATAGATTTCTGGACTTGTTTGCTCAGTTAAACAAACAAGCTTGGCTTTAAAAAATAAGTCTGGGCTGATCAATAATCAAAAGTCTCACAACTCACCTTTGTTCACTTTCTTTGAATGTGCTCGATAGCATTAATGTTAAGCAACCTACTTCTCCAAAGGGAAAAGTCATGGCAGGTCACTAAGAGGTCACAAGGTAAAATGGCTAACATTAGACGTAATTTCCTTTCCAGCAGAAGCTAGAATTCTAGTTCTAACATGAAAAAGAAAACAAAACTGATAAAATTATACTGATAACATTGAAAAGCAAAGGCAGAAAGCATACCTCAAAGCACAACTCTACACACATCAGGAATTCACACCAGGCGTTCACTATTTAGAGCACCATTTCTAGCTTCTGAAGTTGCCAGTCAGTCTGATAATAAGCTAGTGACACATCAGGTCACAAGTGGGCAGTTTCTAGGATAGGATTTGGATCTGCATTAACAACAATCATATGGGAGCCTTCCCTGGTGGCCCAAGGGGTTAAAACCAGCACTGTGAAGCTAACTGCAGCAGGAGTTCCATCCCCAGTCAGGGAGCTGACTCACATGGTGTGGCAGAGCTCTCCTGTCCTGCCCTCTGCTCCCCTCAGCAGTGTTATTTCATTTAATCTTCTTGTTCTGCTCCCCACTCTGTCTCTGGTGAATCCTCTCCCCCTCTGCACCTCTGGCTTGTACACCAGTTTTTGTATGCATAAGTAAATAAATCTTTGAAAAAGAGAGAGAGAACACTCTGAGGCTTGGTGCTAAGCACTGGAAGGAAACTGGAAAAATGTTTATTTTGTATATGTAGGGAAGGGGCACCTGCCTAAAGTATACAGATGTGTTACTGGGAAACCCCAAAGAGCAATGGGATGGCCAGGGTGTGAGTCCCCATCCACACATTTTTTTAAAAGCTCAGAAAAAGACCCAAAGGCAGGCACACAAGGAAAGGTTAATAGGTTTATACAAGGAAAAAGGGAAGACAGGGTGAACAAGAGAAATTATTTGGTACATGTCCTACCAGAAACTGTCAGAGCTGAGACGCCATGTGCATGCAGCAAGGAAGCACACCTCAGAGCTGAGAAACCAGTTGCATACAGCAGGCAGGAACGCCAAGCAGCCTCTTGCCCTCATCTTTGGTTCAAAGCGCATGGCTGCTTACCTCGACCCTTATTTCCCAACAATCCCCTTGTCAAGAAGTCAAGCGGCATGGTAGACGCATGGCGTGATGGGAGTTGTAGTCTTGGACGCCTGGGACATTACTATGAACATCAGCGGGTGGCGTTCTTTTGGGACATACTGTTCCCCCGACAGATGCAGCTATAATTCTAGTTCCAATATTAGCAAGTCACATACACGCAATCAGGCTATTTCCCTAGTGAATCGCCTTCCATCCCACCCTTTCTCTTGCTAAACCCAAAGGAGTAACCGGGTTTGACCTCAAGGGGTAGCCACTTGCCCTCGGCTGGCTGTCAGACACACGAAGATACAGACAGATTATGTGAAATAATAAGGTTATTCTCTTACAAACACTTCCACTGATGCAGAGGGAAGGACATTCTCTTGGGACTCATAGAAATGAGAGTGAAGGCAGGCTGAGAGTTATTGACTAATAAAAGAGCATAAAAGTCCTTTCTAGTCTTCTATTCTGGCTGCCATTCATCAATAGTGTGAAGCTTGGCAGGACAGGAACACAAATCCTGCTTTCCCATGAAAGAGATCAAATAAAAACCTCCTCCATTTATGTCATAGGATTATTCTCAAACATTATTTTAAAAGCATATGCAAAAATACATAAATAAAACATTACCATTGCTATTAAAATATTTTAAGAAATTCATGTTCCTTTCTTCTTCTAAATGTAGTCAGATACTATCTTTGGAATTTAAACAAAAACTGGATTTATTACCAAACAAATGAAAATAATTGAATTACAGAAAAATCTAATTATAATTCTCCAAATTCACTAGATTTATAATTTACATTGCAATGAGTTTGCTGGTTAGGGTATTGATTAAAATCGCTGCTGTAGAAAATGGTTCATTCATTAATTCTTTGGGAATGCAAATTCAAGTTTAGCAAACAATGAGTACACGCCAAATATGAAATAATGTTGACATTCCATGAGATGATTAAGCCAATTAAGAAACCATAATCCAAAGATGTTTTAAAATTATCATACTGATTTCCTCAAAACTTAATGACTAACGAATGAAATATGAATTGTAAGTCATTTGCAAACCTTTGTACTCGGGTATCATATTAGAAACAAACATAGAACATTCAACAAAAAGGTGTCAACACCAGAATAGCAATTTCAGTTTTGTAGAAACACAAATTCTATTTGTTAAGCCAATTCTGGCATTCAACTTTAGGCATGCCCTGCCTGGAATACTAATCAAATACATATGCCCTTAACATTAATCTAAATCCATTAAAAATCCTAACAAGGAAACACATTCCTTTATGAGACTTTTTGGAAGGTTAGAAATAACCTTATAGAACAACCCTTAGTTCAACTCCAATTTTTCAGAACTAGTTACTTTGATGCCAGGCAGCATTTTAAAAACATGATCAAAGACCTATGTTATTGGTTATTTCTCTGTATAATGATTAATGCCGGCACGCTGGTTGTGTGGAAGATCACACAACACGTGAAGGCATTACTTTTGTGCCTTTACCTTCTATGAAACAAAGCAGCAAGGGTTATTTCCATAAATACTATCTAAGATTTGGGTACATTTTGTCAATTCTGAACCTAAGACTTAATAGTGACTTAGTTGCTTCCTGGATGATGAACTTGATCAGGTCTTGAAACATACAGCATAACAAAGTTTAACATACTTGATTTCCTCCACATTTATTGGGGTTAGAGAAACTAAAACAGTTATTTTCCTCCCAAATCACTGGAAAAATAGAATACAACAGCAATTTCTTAAAGACATAACAAAACTTTTCTGGATCATAAATCAAGATGGGATGCAATAGCCTATAGACATCAATTATGCCAGCTTTATAAAATGTCATTCATCTAAGGCAGTTCTGAAATTGTCCTCAAAGTCACACACCTATGTATTAGTCTATATACATAAAGGCATCCATTGATGAACAGAAAGTCTTTTAGAAGCACTGTTTAGGGAAGATTAAGATAATACATATTTAGATTCTGGATAATTTTTAAGAGACAATGTGGTTTTCCAAATAACCGATTTACATTTGAATAAGCGTAATTTCAAACTTTGATAAATAAGGTGGTCATGATGCAGGCTACAAGAAAATTCACACTGTGAATTCTTCATTTTCCAAAGGCCTCTTTCAAAATACATTTCAAGTCCCGAGAAAATATCCATGGCATGAACAAATAGGATGCCTTAAGATGCTAAAATTTGTTTCCGGAGCAACGGCCGGATGTGCCATTACATCCACCATATTTCTGAATAGTGGGGGTTTATATCCAGATGACAACTTGGTGAAGACTTTATTTCTCTTTCAATGGACTACACTACTTCAAACATAAAGAATTTACCACAACATCCAAACATGATTATACAAACCGTATTTCTTCCTAGGACAGAGTTTCACGAGGGAAGTATAAAACTGACAGGAAGGCAACAGTTTGACTAGACAATTATCCAAACCCAAAGCATCACTGTTAGCAGAGTTGTCGGCTTCTCCTTTAAGCAAAGCCTCAAGTGACTTTGCGTATTATTTCACTTCTTGGTGCACAAGAGTCAAAGTTCCTGCGAACCCTGACTAAAGGTTTCACACAGGCCACCTCATTTAGCTATTTGAGGCACCATTTTCAAGCACTTTCTAACCTTTAAAAATTTTAATACCAGTAACTTAAGATCTGTTAAACAACCTGTCTATCCCCCACAAGAAAGTAGCTAATACTAATATAATTTCTGTGTGAGATGTTAAGTTCCTTCCATTTTGCCAAGCAAATAGGTATTTTCTTCTACCTTCCCTCCAAACTCAGGAGCTACTCCTCTGATAACACAATATTGTAGAGTTCCCCAAAACTAGTCCCAATTATGTAAAGATCCTGGAACCAAACTTGGAGAATTTACTAATGGAGGAATAGATTGCCACTTCTGATATTCTCGATACAAAAATTCACTTTCAGTTGAGTTCCTGTCATCCCCTGAGCAATTATAAATGCCCTTTACTAATAAGAGGCAGTATAAGACAAAGCAAATTATACAAATATATGTACATGTGTAACTATATCAATCTGAAACACATTGATAAAAGAGGGTGTTGATTTTTTCTCAAGTGTTGAAAATTTCAAAAGAAAATAAAGACAATACTGAGAAATTTCTAATAAACCATAAAAAAATGTTTTTTGGTTGGTTTATCATTCAAAAGTTTTCCCAGAGTTTCCATCTATGTTCTATACAAACTGTAAATAAAAAATGTCCATGACCAACAGATGTATTATACATATATCAAATGTTAATATGTACATACAAATTAAAGTTCCTTAAATATACACATCCAGGGTACATTCCATTACGTAGCAAAGCATCACTCTTTAATCATAGCTCCAGAATAGCAGCAAATTAATAGTCTAGTTACTTCAGAAAATATCATGTGTTCTGATAGTTCCTGATGAGTTATCCCTGGCTTCAAGGAGAGTTTGCCATTAACACTTAAAACAGTTCGCTGGAAGCACCAGGCTACATTGCTAATGGCAATTACATAATCCTGTCATTGGAGAAAAAGCTACTGTCTTTTCAAAACCCGTTTATTTAAAATCTGATTCATGATTTAATGGGAAAAATGTCACGATGAGGTGACAGAAATCCAAACTATTTAAGAGTGTAAAGCATTGACTTTTAATCTCACACGTTTATTGTCATTTTATCAGTGCCTTGAACATTCAGAAACAATTCAGATTGCCCTACCAGATAACGAAAGGGCAATACTAAACTTTGCAGAGAGCTGCTCTGAACTGTGTAGGAAAACATGTAAAAAATGTGATTATCAAGTAGAGTTTCTACAAACTGAGATGGTAGCATCTGGTACTAAATATTGTTTTAAGAGTTATGTTTACAAAGCTACACCTTTGGGTGAGTTATGAACTTAAAATCAAAATTTACATATATTATATGTCCAAAAAAATCCTTAGATTGATGTATAATGAACCATCTTACTCAGAATGAAAGATAAAATGGCTTTTAGATAAACATCTACTGCATTATACTACTGGGTCACTATGCCTGCCCAAGGGGTAGAAATTCCCAGTAGGTGGCAAGTGACATGGATTCTACATGGACACGGTGCTTTAATACTCTCTCTTGGTGTGCACTGTTAGGCTCAATGCTAAATCTTCTGCCTGAATGCACACAGAACTCTGTTCTCTAAGCTGAAGGTTTTAAACCTCTGTCACTCTGCCCAGACATCACATAAAATATTCTAGACTACAGCTAGTGAGTGTAAGAGAAGAGTTTATCGCCTTCATGATGCTACACGTGCCAAAGAGAGATGATAAATGCCACCATATTGTTTTACATACTGTGACCCTTCTACTGCAAAGGGGCAAGTCCCTGTGCAGAGCAGTGTCTCCTGTTTGAAGCTGTGATCCCATGAGGAGAAACTGATTGTGACTCTGCCAAGTCACTGTAGGAATGCTCGAAGCAGCACATCCATTAGCTGGCCAATGCAAAGCCACTGTCTCCACTCCCCAGTTATATAAGCTGCCTGTTTTACTGCTTTGATGAGATTTTTCCTTCAACAGGCTTATTCTTCCCCTCCCGGTGGTGATCTCCCCATGCTTTTCATGGTGGACGAACCAACACAGAACACGGGCTTCACAGTTATCATGTGTATTTTCCAACCATGATAACACATTTATTATAATCTCACAGGCCCCTTGGATTTGGCTGGCAGTTGAACAGTCCAGTGAATTCCTTGGAATATGATAAAACGATGATGTGTCAGTTCCTCCCCCGCAACTCCAAAGCTTCTCAACATAATCCATAGACGCAACCTGGGCTGTGGGACCCCCGATTCTCTTTACATAGGAACACATGCACCAGTCAAGTTCAAAGTCTGAACACAGAGGCACTTCCAAAGTTTGGCAAGGAGCAGGAGGCAAATTCAATAAGCAGGGCTTGATCGCTGTGCTGTTTCGTATAACCCAGACATCGTGGCACGTGGACAGGAAAGCTTTAGGTTGTGGGTGGGTCATGCTTTTTCTTCTTGCCCCGACAGGACTTGCAGACACAGCAGATTATGCATGGGGAAGCCAGAAGCAGCAAGGGTGAAGTCACCAGGGCGATGATGCCCAGCCCCACAAGGATCCCCACCACCTGGAAGTTTAAAATAACATCTTTATCAGCAGCTCAGTCTTCCATAGGGATATTTTACTATCAACTATAAGCTGAGTTTTTATGTTAAAAATACCCAGTATAGGGCCCTCCCTGGTGGTGCAATAAGAACTCAGCACTGCAAGCTAGCCACAGCCCCTCCAGTGTAAGTTCAATCCCCATCCCAGAGGTGACCCACATGGTACCACAGACCTCTCCTGACCTGCCCACTGCTCCCCTCAGCAGTGTACTTCATCAATCTGCCTGTTCTGCTCCCCACTCTGTCTCTGGTGAATCCTCTCACCGCTCCTGCACCTCTGGCCTGTACCTCAGTTCTAGCTGCATAAATAAATAAATATTTAAAACAACAACAACAAAAATGCCCATTATAGGGTCCTTCCTGGTGGTCTGCGGGTTAAGTCTCAGTGCAATCAAGCTATCGCCAGCCACTGTCCAGGTTGCTGACCCACATTGTGCAGCTGACCTCTCCTGTCTCACTTGCTGCTCCCCTCAGCAGTGTATTTTCAGTACATCTGCCTGCCCTGTTCCCCACTCTGGTAAATCCTCTCACCCCTGCACTTCTGGCCTATACCCCAGTTCTTATATGAATAAATAAATCTTTTTTTTTAATGGGGGGTTGATTATGGGACCTTTTAGCCAGCAGTGATCTGAAATGGATATAAACTGGGGAGATACTAAAAAATAAAAGTAAGAAGAACAAATGCCAGCTAATTCAATCTTAGCAACAAACTCTGTGTAATCATGACCTGTTGGGTGTTGGGTCTCTGCCTGAATTTCCTCTACAGTCGCAGGGAGATACTAGTAATGATTGCTAGGCTGTTCACAACTGACTCCTGCCAAAGGAACACAGCTTTTATTAAGTAGTAAACACTAATAAAATTAAATCAAAATTCCCTTTAAACCTGTGTATACACACACAGGGGATGTACAGAAGGATCTCAGGCCCCAGGTGTGGAAGGGAGTCATATATTTATTTTCACACAAATAAGCCTTAAAGAGCTTTCAGAAAGTCATTCTGTCAGTTTATTCAGAAGGACAGAATGTCTGCCTTCATTCTGCAGGCCACTCTACGTATAGTAGACTACCATTATAGTTAACTCTACGTATAGTAGACTATCATTATAGTTAACTCTACGTATAGTAGACTACCATTATAGTTAACTTAGCTGCTCTGGAGTTCTGTCCCTCTGCTGCTCTTCCAGGGACTTGTCCTCATGAATTAACTTCCAGCCATTGCTCTGTGACTTTCCCTAGCCCTGTCCCAGAAATTCCCAGGACCCCTTCCATGCAGCAGGAGGAGGTAGAGTGGGAAGGGTGGATACAAACACTTATTTCCTATGCCTCTGAAGGTCACAGTACCTGTGTTCGGTTCCACATCACGGATGCTCTCGAGTGACCAAGCTTGTTCCTACACGGCCCTTTGTCATAATGTCTGAGAAAAATATCATTCTGAAAAACAAAGAGAGTAGTTTCAGTCAACATGTGGTTTTGAATCAAGAGGTGGACATTACCACACAGCAGCTAACGGGAGGCAGGGCTCTGAGGTGATATTAATGATGGTCTCTAGGAATTTCGAATTGGTCATCTTTGCAATGTATCTCGGTGGTTGTATAAATCACTGAGCTAAAATAGACCCTAGTCAGTGAGTTCTGACAGAGTCTAACATAAATTAATCAACTGTCTTTAAAAAGTAGCTCTACAGTGGTGTGAAGTAAAGTGAGAGGACCTCACATGAAGACACTGTGGTAGATGGTGACCACCAGTTTAGACAAGGTAAACTGAGAAACACTTAAGACACTCACGCCTCACTGCTCAAAAGGTAACTGGGTACACAGATTTGGTTTTAGAATCAAGAGTTGGGAGTCAGTGCACAGGGCCTAGAAGAATCCACAGAATCTCAGCTGAGATTATTCGGAGATAGAATGTAGACTGAGAAGTCAAGAGACTATAGACCCGTTAAGAGTGGGTCATGGAAGAGCTTGGAGGGAACAAGAAAGTGGCTAGAAACATAGAAAGGAAAGCAGAAGAGATGGTATCACTGTAACAGAGATGGTCAAGATGTCATAGGCATCAGAATCTAAGTAAGATATGGACTGAAGTACCATTGGACTTTACCCAAAGAAATCACTTGGTCTTGTTAGAACACGTCAGGGTGTAACTAGGTAGGGCAATCTGAATACAATGCAATGATTCAGAGCTTCAGCAACTGGAGGTGATTATGCTATCTTGAAATTTAGCTTCTAAAGAAAGGGGAGAAACTGAATGGCAGTAAGGGAAAGATCAAGACTTGAGAAAAGAGCTACTTGTTTGGGGGACTCCTTAAATGCATGCATATGTTAAGAGAGTGGAGAGTGCACTCTGATCTCACAGGAGAGAAGAGAGGAGTGTTAACTGAAGAGGACAAGGCTATGAGGTATCCAAAGCAGAGGACTGAGAATGCCTTCTCCTCTGAGACAGAAGGAATGACGACCAAGATAAGAACAGACTCAAAACTCCAGTAAAACTCTGTTGTCTATCTCAAGCTGGGATTTTGGACACTGACTCTTCTAGACCCATGCTCTTAAAGTATCCTATAAACAACAATCAATGCCACCATATGACATAAAACACTTCTCTAGATGAAAACATCAGGTCCAGGAAGCCAGTGCCCCTGGCTACGACCAAGAAAATGCAATCTCGAAAAACAATGACCAGAACAAAGAAGCTCCAATATTTGAAGTGTGTGTATCCAACCATGTCACATCTGCACCATGTCAGCTCATGTACCAGAACAGTACAAGTGACAGGACAGTGTGTTCTTTGCAACACCATTCCCCAAATATATTTTAGCCAAAGGATACAGAGATCTGGTACACACATTTATTCCCTTCCATTTTTGCCTCCTAAAGAGAACCTCATGGGCTTTAGCATCCTTCTGCATATGAACTCAATTAATGGTCTGTTAAAACCTGAAGGAAAACAAACAAGACTTCTTTCATTTGTAAAGCATGAGGGGTGTTCAATCAGTTAAATTCTCATTCCAAAAATCACTCATTTAGCATTATGCCAGGTATCAAATATCAAACCTAATGGTAAATCAAGGAGTTGTGATAGATTTTTTTTTTTAAGGATGAAAACTTTTCTTTCAATTGGAATAGCTGAGCTTTGAGACCCTAAAATGACATTTCATAGATCGGGGATCAAATATAATATCCTGAGGAAATCTTATCCTCTGTAAAATAGATTGTCATCCTCCAAAATCACACACAGAAAGCAATTTTTGCTGCATTTTATCAAAGAGGAAGATTTTTGTTACCCTACGGGCATATAGAATAAATAAATATTAGATGAATATTGAAAGTGTGATCAGGGGTTAGACAGTAAAGTTCTTGTCCTGTTCTTTATTTGCAATATTCTATTTCTAACAGATCACAGGCCTCCCCTTAAGCAATGACTCAACAACAACAAATTTAATTATCACTATGACTAGGTATAAGAGGGGGAAGAGAATAACTTAAAGGAAATATCCAATATTTTCCCCACACTAATCCAGTCCATGACAGAAAACTTGGAATTAAAATCGTGGTATCCTAAATCTTTTCTTCCCATTAACTGCCTCTCTCATTTCATTTGGGGTCTGTATGTTCTGCCTCCAGCCACTAATAAATGGATGCTGACATTAATAAAATAAAATGCCCATTTATATATCTTCTTTAAAGACTGAAATCAAGTTTACACTCAAGATTAAAATTAAGATTCATGCTCATTGGGGTTATATTAAACAAGAGAGTTTGAGTTCCAGTTACAATGAGACAAGCAGTGGTTATTATACAGCCCATGTTCGCTGCACACTCACCAGTGGGGTCTGTAGGATGCTGAAGTATTACATAAGTCGCTTAAGCTCCAAGCAAGCTAAGCAATTAACATGAGAAGTTGAGAAAGTAATGGCCACCCAACCATTCATGACTAAGGGCTGACACTGATATGGATATTTTATTTGGCCAAAACAAGGAAGAGCTATAAATAACTGATGCTATCCCATAAGTTATTCCAAACTGTAGAACACTAGAATTCAATTCATGAATACACTAAAATTGAAGTAAGACCTTCTCACCTATCCTTCACACCACCTTTATTTTTAAAGATTTATTTATTAATGTATACAGAACTGGGGTACAGGCCAGAGGTGCAGGGGCAGTGAGAGGCTTCACAGAGACAGAGTGGGGAGCAGAACAGGCAGGTCGACAAAGTACACTGCTGAGGGGAGCAGCAGGAAGGTCAGGAGAGGTCTACAGTGCCAGGTGGGTCACCCCCAGGCTGGAGCGAGAAGGACAACCAGACCATACTCCTGAATCTGGGGAGTGAGCCTGGACAAAACACTAGTAATACCATTGTCATGCCAATGAATGAGATATTTAAGAGGCTTTTGATTAAATGACTTTTACTTAAATTCAGAAAAAGGAAAGCCCCCTCTCTCCTCCCCTGAAGATACCCACGGCCAATCCTTAAAATTTGTGAATGTCACCTCATATGGCAAAAGGAAGCCCTGAAAATGTGATTCAATTAAGGACCCTGCTCGGGGGAGGTTAACCTCTGTGATGGAAATAGGTCCAGTGGAGTCATACAGGCCCTTACATGCAGGGAAGCTTTCTCAGCTGTGGTCAGAGAGATGAGATGCCTTTGAAGATGGAGAAAGAAACGACAAGCCAGAGAATGCAGAGAGTTGCTAGGAGCTAGAACAAGACAAGAAATGCATTTTCCCTTAAAGCCTCCAGAAGAGAATACAGTCTTTCAATTTGCTGATTTTTAACCCGGTGAGATCCACATCAGATTTCCAATTTGTAGTGCCAAAGAAAATATTTGTTGTAAGCCACTAAGTTTGTGTTAAATTGTTGCAACAGCAATATAAAATTAATACAATAACTGTCATTTTGTATAATAGAAAAGTGTATACAGTTAAGAAGCACACTTCAGGAAAACTCAGAGAAGTCTAACAGCTACCTAAAGTAGCAGGTGATATGGTTAAAAAAAAAAAAAAGAGGAATTCTCCTACACTGCTGGTGGGAATGCAAACTAATCCAATCACTATGGAAAGTTGTGTGGCGGTTCCTGAAACTTCTAAAATGGAGCTACCATATGACCCAGAAATTCCACTCCTAGGGATCTATCCAAAGGATACAAAAACATTAACTCAAATGGACACCTACATCCCTGTGTTTACTGCAGCACTCTTTATAATAGGTAAAATTTGGAAAGAACCCAAATGCTTAAAAATAGATGATTGGATCCAGAAGATATGGCACATATACACAGTGGAATACTATTCAGCAATCAAAAATGATAAACTCTTGTCAGCTAGAAGGGATTATGCTCAGTTAAGTAAGAAGGAAAAAGAAAAATATGGATGGTTTCACTTACGGGAGGAATATAGGGGAATCAAAAAAAAGGTCAGGGGGGGGAAACCACCATTACCAAAAAAAAATCACAACACAACAACAAAAAAAATAAACCGCAACTATACATCTGAGACATTCTGCTGGGGAAAGGGAGAGCGAGGGATTGAAACCAGGGCGAGAAGAACACAAGGAACTGTGGTGATGGTGCACAGGTGAACTGGTGGTGAGAATTCTATAGGGACTACACCTGAGAAAAGAAAGCAAACATTATAAAAAATTGAGCAATGATATAAAATATAAATAAATAGGGCCCTCCCTGGTGGTGCAGCGGGTTAAAGCACAGCACTAAGAAGCTAAAGCCACTTCAGCATCAGTTCGATCCCCGCCTGCCCTGGAGGTGACCCACATGGCGCGGCAGACCTCTCCTGACCTGCCCGCTGCTCCCCTCAGCGGTGTACTTCATCAGTCAGCCTGTTCTGCTCCCCCCTCTGTCTCTGATGGGTTCTCTCACCACCCCTGCGACTCTGGCCAGTACCCCAGTTCTGTATGCATAAATAAATAAAAATCTAAATATAATAAATAAATAAATTATTAAGTAGCAGGTATAGGAAGTCTTGCTAAGAAAAATATCCCTTGTCCCTGCAGTGCAAAAAGAAAAACATTATTTTAAAAGGAAAACCTGTAGGATGCTGGTTGTTGAACACATACAGTATGGAGAAAGTTCGGCAAAGCCAGCAGAACTTACATCCAGGTTCTGGAGACAGTACCAGCAGAATGTGTGCTTGCAATTCTTACACATCATCTGGGCACAGCCTTCATTGCGTTCGATATAAACCCGGCAAACAGGACACTGTTTAATGGGGGCTTCTGCGTCTGTCCCAAAGAGGGTGCTAGAAACAAAACAGAGGCAAAATTATTGGACGGGGCTCCAGATCTCATGGTGACTTGATTTCCATTTCCCTATTGAACACCTTTTCATGTACCTGTTGACCATTTCCTTGTTTTCTTGAGAGAAATGGCTATTCAGTTCCTCTGCCCATTTTTACATCAGATTTTATTGTGAGGTCCTCCCTGGGAGGCAACTGGTTGGGACGCAGCACTACAAGCTAGATGCCACTGCTTCAGTGCAAGTTCGATCCCCGGCCCTGGAGGATCTGCACAACGCAACAGACCTCTTCTGTCCTGCCCTCTGCTCCCCTCAGCAGTGTACTTCGTCAATCTTTCTATTCTGTTCCCCGCTCTGTCTCTGGTCAATCCTTCACTTCTGGCCTGTATCCCAGTTCTGTAAGCATAAATAAATCTTTACAAAATAAATAAAAGATTTTTACTGTTGATAATGATGTGTTCTTCATATATGTTGAAGCACAAGGGAAGAGTGGTCTGAACATCATTAATTATTAATCAATGCCCTTCTAGACTTAACTTTATGGTCATGGAATGAATTCCCAGAGCTCCTGAGAGGTCGGTAGTTAACACTTTATTATCTGTGCTTAATTCAGTGCCAAGGAAAAGGTTGGGATAAAAGCAGGAGGGAAACAGATTTTAAAAAGTCAAAAAAAGGTCTCAATTTTTTTACCTTTGAGTGAACTATGTAATTATACTTTCTTAAGTTAATTCATTATTTTGTCAAATTAATACTTCATTCCCTGAGCGTACACTGTCTAAATAAAAAGACCAACAAGTATAAAACTTAAGTCCAGGATCAAAAGGAGCACAGATAATCTAATGACCTGTTTATTAAATAGTGGAGGAAGGGAAGGGGGGAATCAATAATCACTAACTTAAAATAATGACAGGGTTTTTTTGTTTTTTTTTTAAAGATTTATTTGGTCATGCATATAAGAAATGGGGTATGGGCCAGAGGTGAGGAGATGAGAGGATTCACCAAAGAGAGTGAAGAGCAGAACCAGTAGATCAACTGAAACACACTGCTGAGGGGAGAACCGGGCAGGCCAGGTCAGGAGAGGTCTGCTGACCATGTGGGTCACCTCCCTGGCCGGGGATTGAACTAACACCACAGTGGCTGCAAATACTTCACAGTACTGCACTTTAACCCACTGCGCCTCCGGGGACTATTTTTTAAAAACCTACTCCAAGCAGAATTAGCATAAGCTGACAGCCTAGAGGAGCATAGAAGAAAAAAAAAAAAAAAACTGTTCATCAAAACCAGCACACAGCACCCCTCAAATCCAGAGTGCTGTCAATGACAGGTACTCCCCATAACTATATCCAGCAGTATAAGAGTTACTATTTTAATTCCCTGCCTTTTTTTCCAGACAGGAAAAAAGACTCATCAAGATGGAGGGACTAGTAGGAAGTCACACAAGTACCAAATGACAATGCAAGAACTCAGTTCTTCTCTCTGCGATACCCAGGCAAGAAGGATGCTTCCTGCAATTGCAGTGAAAGTACAGGGTTTTCGTTTTGTTTTGTTTTGTTTTGTATAAGGGCACACGCCTGCCATGTATGTGCATTATGTCTTTTTCACTCTTGATTTGCTCTGTCGGAGACTCAAGTCCCATGTCACAGCCAGGTAGCATTACTGGTTCTGAAGAATGGTTCTATTCATTCTGCCAGGCTGGGTGATTCAGCCAACTGGACTGTAACTCTGGTATTTCTGTGCTTGCTAGTGCAGAACTGCGTAGCCTTAAGCAAAGCACGGGATCAAACACAAAAGTCTCTCATTCCCGGCTCTGCCACCATCACCACCATAAAAGCCCTCTCTAGGTAGGGATTTGATTGCTTCTCCTCTTAACAAAATTTCAGACTGGAGCCATCTTTTTTAGGACATAAAGTATTAAGAGATGAGCTCTTTTTCTCTCCTACTTAATTTAGGACTCTAGGCACTGCAGGGCTTTTGTTTTTGTTATGCTCTCTCTGAAATGATTGGAACATCTTGCACGATGGCAGTTCAGTCTTGGTAGAAATAATTTCTGTGCCACTTTGCAATCATTAAAAATGTGATCTTTCAATAATAGCAGTTAAGGAACCTAAGCAGATAAATGTGGACAAGTCATGACTTCCTCCCAAGAACCAATGGACTATGTACCTCTCTCTACCAAGTTTAATATTATCTAGAAGCTTCTCCTGGGCTATCTTTAGTAATAACTTACCAATACTTAGGGGCACTCCTCAGGAAAGTTCTTCAAGAAAATAATCTCTTAACTGCCACCAAAAAGGAACTCCTTCTCCAGGCAACATATTAAGGATTTCTAAGTAAAGTAGTTAGGCGTCCTGAAGTTTCCTCTCTTACCCGTGCTCTGTCGGCAGGACGACAGGCTGACTATCTCTACAGGAGACTTCTGCGTGCCAAGCGTCCTTGCAACATGAGCAGAACTTCAGGTGGCAAGTAGGACACTCCACCAGCACAGGCTGCCCTGGGTCCCCGGATGCAACCGTGCACACAGTCTGACAGTCAGCAATGGGGCACCACGTTCGGTAGGGGTCCAGGTGGACTTCTGGAGAAGGAAGAAAGAAAACTTGATGGTCTTTGTGTCACTCATTCAGACTGGAGGCTCCCACCATCTTCACTCAATCTATTTTTGTAAACACTTTTATTTATGCATGCATGCAACAATTGGGGTATATGCAAGGGGAGAGGGGATTCATCAGAGATAGAATGGGGAGCAGAACAAGCAGATTCACTGAGATACTCTGCTAAAGGGAGCAGCAGGCAAGATAGGAGAGGTCTGTTCTGGCGTGTGGGTCAGCTTTCTGGCTGGGATTGAACTCAAGCCAGAAATGATGATAATACTGAAACTTAAACCCTAGGCCACATGGGAGGTCCTCATTTTCTTTCCCGTTTTTTGGTCCTCATTTTCTTTTAAGGAAAATAGAAGTCAAGGCCCTGGAACTTATGTGAGTAACTGTCCTTTGACTTTCTTAACAAACAATCTGTCCCAAAGTTTGAGGGCTTTTAGTGGATCCATTTCTCGGTTAAGAGTCTGTAAATTGTAGAATTATAACATTAATGAAAGCTTAACCAAGTGGTTTCTACTATTGGTAGAAATGGTGTTTCTACAACTGGTAGGAATCACAATGGATCTAAATCTGGCAAATCTAAATCTACAAGGTCACTTAGCTAAAGGAGAACATCTTTCAAAATAAGTATAAGGGTACATCACCATAAACCTTGTAAATAGATAATACATGTTCTCATTAACCAAAATTTGCAACTCTTTTGGACTATTTCTTGCCATTCAGTTCTCAAAACAGGCAAATATCTAAAGTCCCTCCTACGATTATTTTGGGTACAATCTTTGAGGAAATTTAGGTATAAAGAACCTACCAAAGCATTTTTTTAAAGCATTAAAAATTTGTGTTTAAAAAAAAAAGAAAAAAAAATTGTGTTTCAATTTACAATAGGTAAGCTATGGAAGCAAACCAAATGGCCAAAAATAGATGACTGGATCAAGAAGATGTGGTATATTTACACATGGAGTATTACTCAGCAGTAAAAAAGGATAAACTCATGCCCTTCTCAGCAATATGGCTAGAGCTGGAAGGGATTATGATCAGTGAAATAAGCCATAAAGAAAAAGAAAAATATCGATGGTCTCACTTACAGGAGGAATGTAGAGGCATGAAATAAGAAATCAGGAAAATAAAAGTAACTGTAATAAAGTAAAAATCAAAATCACCAGGCAACTATAGATCAGAGACATTCTGTAGGGGAGGAAGAGTGAAAAGGATCAGGACAGAGTGGGAAGAGGAAACGGACTATGGTGATGGAGCACGGGACACTGGTGGTGGGAGTTTCATGGGTGAATCATACATTGTACCAAAATGAAGAATGATGTAATAAATATATTTTTAAAATAAAAAATTTAGTTTAATTTAAAAAGGAAACAATAAAACACTTCAAAAAATTGTGTTTTCTAGCTCTGAGAAATAAGTAGTTAAGTTCTCTTCTGTTGTTTAGAAGTTAATTAAGGAACAAGGAAGAATCAAATAGTTTAGAGATCAAACAGTGGATAGTGGCACTTACTTAAGAAGTCACATTGTTAGAGTTTGGATGTTCTTTCTGCTGCCTAACCAACATGTTAGGGACAATTTGTAAAAAGACCTATATGTTTTAAAAACAAAAGGTAACGACCTTCACAGACCACAAAATAACAGCTGATCAGACCAGATAGATTTGCTAGGTCCAAGAGACATATTTGGGGAAAAATAGATCTGGGGGTAGATAATTGCCTTCTATTAAAGTATTTACAATCTTCTCAGTTTTCCATTTTCTATTAAAAAACAGACTTTGTGTTTTGACTTTCAAGGGAATAAATCATATGAGAAATGGTAATACTTGAAGAGTACAGTAAATCTCTGAACCAGTGCACTTCACAAATTTTGAATGGACACAATGCTAGTTTTAAATCCTTATGAATCTTGGAACTTTCCATGCTGCAGGCAAACACATCCAAAAGGTGGTGCAAAGAGAAATAAGCTTAATTTTAAAGTTAATTTTACAAAGTCAATATAAAGGGGGAATGTTCTGAGGGTTCCAGTAAACACTCAGGGTTCCAGTAAACACTGTCCCTTACAAAAATCCTATTGACAAAGTACAGTAACTGAATCAATGCTTAAGACAGGTCTTCATTTTAAAAAACAAAAACAAAAAACAAAAACCTTAAAATACATTGTTTTTTCTAATAATTCAAGGGTGTGGAGGTTGGAGAAAAATGAGCCAAACAAATAGCAATAGAAACCTATGATTCACAGGTCCTCACGTGCCAGGCTCCCTAGAACTGTGGGACAGATGACTAGAACACCAAGGAAACAGTGACAGAGGTTTCTGGGTCTTGGCCTTTTCCTCCCCTACCATTTATAATATTTTCTTCCAATCATTCAACTGCTTCACAAAATTAAGCTCAAAGAAACGAAGGTTGGTATGTAGCTCAGAGGTAGCTATTAAAAATACCTACTTACCACTAATTCTAATCAGAAGTCTTTTAAGTTTGATGATAAAAGGTAATATACACATTACAGTTAAAATTTACACTATACCTGCTGATCAACTTTTAAAAAATAGAAAGACGTCAGGTCCTCCCTGGTGGCACAGAGGGTTAAAGCACAGCACTAAGAAGCTAAAGCCACTTCAGAATGAATTCAATCCCCACCAGCCCTGGAGGTGGCCCACATGGCGAGGCTGATCTCTCCTGACCCGCCCGCTGCTCGCTGCTCCCCTCAGCAGTGTACTTCATGGATCTGCCTGTTCTGCTCCCCATTGTCTCTGGTAAATCCTCTCACCGCCCCTGCAACTCAGTACCCCAGTTCTGTATGCATAAATAAACAAATCTTTAAAATATATATATAAAGACATAACTGTTCTTCTAGCTCTAATCAGTAATTAAAATTACTTGGTTGACATTCTAACTTGTCTCTACCAACTTTGGGTCTCTGCACTGGCCAAGCAGAAATGCAACCTATCCGTTTAAGAGCAATGGTAGTTTTTGTTGAGTTCCTATAAAGCATGCAGTGCAGTCTGATGTAACAGCCAGGAAGAACCTGAGCCACAGGAAATTTATCTGTAGTTTTTCCACTAGGATGGTGCACTAATAACCCAGCAAAGGGAAGGAGGGAGGTATTCATGATAGCTTGCAACTTATTTCTTTCATTAGAAATCTGTGTTTTGGGCCTCCCTTGTGGCAAAAGGAGTTACGTCTCAGAACTCTCAAGCTATTGCCAGCCACTGCAACAAGAGTTCAATCCCCAGCCAGGGCGTTGACCCACAAAGAGCAACAGACCTCTCCTGTTTTGTCGACTGCTCCCCTCAGCCGTGTGTTTCAATCCACCCACCAGTTCTGCTCCTCACTTTGTCTCTGGTGAATCCTCTCAACCCCACGCCCAGCATCTCTGGCCTACACCCCAGTTCTTGTATGCATAAGTAAATGAATCTTGTTAAAAAAATTAAATACTGTATTTTATGGATCGCTTATAGAAATTAAGTTCAAATGTGGAATTGCTATTCTTTTTTTTTTTTTAAGATTTATTTATTTGTGCATACAGAACTGGGGTACAGGCCAGAGGCTCAGGGGTGGCGAACGGCTTCACCAGAGACAGTGGGGAGCAGAACAGGCAGATCGACAAAGTCCACTGCTGAGGGGAGCAGCGGGCAGGTCAGGAGAGATCTGCCACGCCATGTGGATCACCTCCGGGGCAGGCGGGAATTGAACTCATGCAGAAGTGGCTTTAGCTTCTTAGTGCTGTGCTTTAGCCAGCTGCGCCACCAGGGAGGGCCAGATGTGTTCTTTTAATGGTGTTAAACATTAGGATTCTCTCCCTCAGGTATCACCAATGAAGGACACCAAGTCCACTGTGCTCCCTCCCTTTTTGTTGCTAACCCTCCCCACCCCTACATTCTTCTTTGGATGCTTCAGGTCTATAGTCAGTTTTCAAGGATTAGTTTTTAAGGTTGTCGTCCTCTTGTTCTTGGTTTGGTTTCTCTATGTTTCACTTATTAGGGATACCATCTGATATAGTTCTTTCTCCCTCTGATTTATTTTGCTTAGCATTATCTCTTCCATCTCCACCCATGTTGCTGCAAATGGCATGAGTTTGTATTTTTTTAAAGATTATTTATTTATGCATACAGAACTGGGGTATACGCCAGAGGTGCAGGGACGGTGAGAGAATTCACCAGAGACAGAGCAGGGAGCAGAACAGGCAGTTGGAGGAAGTACACTCCATTGCATACATATTACACACAAACTGTAATACATACATATCATCTTGCTCCACTCATAATTTGGGGGCACTAAATGTGTTTCCATATCTTGGCTATTGCAAATAATGCTGCAATGAACATGGGAATTCAGTGCTTTTGTGCTCTTCAGGCAGATACCTAAGGATAGAATTGCTAGCTCATAGGGCGGATCCATGTGTAGTCTTGAGAAAACTTCCTTACAGAATTCCACAGGGATTGGGCCAGTTTACATTCCCACCACAGTGTAGGAAGGTTCCTTTTTCTCCACATTCCCACCAGCATTTGTTTCTGATCCTTTTGATATGGGCTATTCTCACAGGTGTGAGATGGTATCTCACTGTGGTTTCATTTGCATGTCTCTGATAGTGATTTGAATATTTTACCCTGTTCCTGTTGGCCATTTGTATGCCCTTTGGAGAAGCGCCTATTTAGCTCTTCCCAGTTTTTAATTGTTTTCTTTTTGTAGATATGAGTTCTTTGTACATTTCTGTTATCAGCCCCTTGTCAGATGTATGGTGTGCAAGTACTTTTTTCCCTCCCAGAGGGACTTCTTTTTGTTTTGCTTACAGGTTCTTTCCCTGTGCTGAAACTTTTTGGTTTGATGTAGTGTCATTAGCTTATGCCCTTTGTTTTCCTTGCTGATATTTTCTAAAGGGGTTAGACCAGTGGACATTTCCATCAACAGTGTATGAGTGTTCCTTTTCTCCACCTCGTTGCCAGCATTTGTCTCTGATGAATCCACAAAGATGTCCCTGAAGC